CTCCCGTTCACGCTGAAGCCGTGGAGCACCCGAGTGGGACCAAAGGAAGGGGACTTGTTCCTATCACTGCTGAGACCAACCCTAAAACCATAACTAAAGAATGAAAGTATCCTTGGGGATCTGGTTTCTCAGAATTCTAGGATTGTAAGTATACCATGAGAAATAATAGTAGTGATTTTAATTTAACCTTTACTTGTAATTGTAGTTGTTTTTGTAATATTAATTCTTATAGCATTGTTTGGGAAGGAAGTGCATTTGGAGCATTGTTTCTAATATATGTAGTTATTGCGTTTTTAATGTTTGTGGTTTTTCTTAAAGCTAAGCAGTGTTATATGCGTAGCAAGGAATTTTAAAATAAAATTGTGTTGTGTGAATTAAGTGTAAAATCATTGTGAAATCATGCAATCAACCAAATACTCCCCCAGCCAGGTGCATCAAATGAATCAGTAGATTGTGTGGTAACTTTCTCTGTTCCATAACCCGCTAGAGACAGTATACAACTGCCAAGTACAATGGAATAGAACCCACTTACCCCAACAATTTTTTAAAGCTTATGTCTGTTCTTTACATTTTGGTGTACTCAAAAAGAAACTAAGCTTGGAGGTGGGAAAATCCAATTCCTTGAAAAAACAATTTACAGCTTTTTCGATAGGATGAAACATTTGGTTCCACAGTTCTGTGCACATGCATATATTAAGTTTTAAAACTGGAAAACTGAAGGTAAATATACTTTCCTACTTTTCTGTGTATATAAAGCTTTGTACATTTTGAATTGTTTGGATACAATATATTAGAACTGCATGTAATTTTTTTCATTTCCAGGCACCAATGGTCATAAATTCAAGTATTTTCCTCTGGATGAGGTTGTTAGAATACAAAACAACCAACTTCCCCCAAAATGTAACTTATACTCTGAAAAGCTTTTGCAGTGAATTAAACTATAGAAGACTGCTGTCTTAACTATACTTCTGTGAGCTGATTGAGATTCCAACGAATCAGTATTTGAGTGTTTTACCAGGAAGCCCCCAAAATACATGCATCTGTTTACCTGGTCTACATCACAGGCAAGACAAAGCAATACAGGAAATGTTCGTTTATAGAGCTGATACATGGGTGAGGAACCTTGACGTCCTTCTGGCATTTGAGATGCTTTCCCCAACATGAACATAACTAAGCCATGTAAGAGTTCACATGCTGCAACCTGAAATAAAGGTTTAAGCATCCATTTTAGTTGTATATTGGATACTGACACAGAAAAATAATGAAGGGCCAGCAAAGTGGTGCTGGAATTCTTCCAGTTTATAAATACTAATGCATTCATTTTGAGCCATACTGCACTGACCCATATACCTAGAGTAATTCAGGTACTTTCTGTCCAACCTTCCATCTGAAGTCACTGCCTCATTTAATTGTGCACATTTTTAAAACAAAATTTAACTGTGGAAACATCATTTAAATCATTCATAAATATACACTCTAGGACAAACTGGATTATTGGGCTCTCTCAGAAACCTATGGCTCCAAACAAGCACAGTACACTGGGTATGTGCTTAAGTGTTTTGCTGAACTGGAGCCAATGATAGGGGAAAAATAAAAACAAGATTAAGGGAGAAGTCTAGACAATGCAAAAATAAAAACAGTTAGCAAGAAAGCTCCATCTACACTCTACAAGTTCAGGTCTCAACAGACATAGCTATCTAGTAGAGCCCAGGAATTTATTTATAAGTTTTTTGGATGGATTATAGCAAAGGTTCCCAATCACTGGGCAGCAGCCTGGTACCACACCACAAAGGGTTGGCTGCCAGGTCATGGCACAAGCCCCCAACTCAGACTCCCTGTCTGTCCACCCAGGCAAGCGGCTTTCACGACCAGCAGTCACGTGCTGGGCAGTGGGGCAGCCCTGGGAGGGAAGCAGCTGGCTCTGTGCACCCCATCCCACTCCTGTGCCAGTCTGTGGTATTAAAAAGAAAAAAGGTTAGCAACCACTGGATTATAGAACAGCTTTTCTGTGAATTAAGTGACAACCTAGGATTTAATCCAAAACAGGATTTTCTGCACTAGGAATGGAGTCCTTTTGTAAGGATTATCTCATAGCTATTGCATAAAATTGAAAACATGAAAATGCCAATACTTTAGTCTGCCGGTCACTAGCAGAGAGAGCAAGTTCAGTCACACGAGGCAAGAATACATCCAGGTAAATAACTGGCTTCATGTCTACAAAAGGCACAGCGAAGTTCAGGAGTTTCTCACTGTCCCAGGACACAAATTTCTTCATCATTTCTTCTTCAGAAGCAGCTAGTAGAAGTGGAAAAGAGCAAAAACAAAGATAAACTTTAACCTAATCAACTAACCAGAGTATTTGTAAAAATTAACAGGCACTGAAGTTTTCAGGCAAAATGCTTGAAGTCAGAGGGATACAGATCCTTGACCAAATAGGAAAAACATAACCTACCAAACCAGATACTTGTTAGCATGATGGTAGCTTCATTTTCTAAGAAAGTGGTTCCATCACAACATGGAGAAAATAACTGCTACCAATTTTTAAATAAGACAGCACAACTGTCCTATTCCAACAGCCGAAACTCAGCAATTTATGAACTTAGAACATATTGAAGTACACTTGTTCCAGAACACTCCTCAAAAAAAAATAAAAAAGGAAAAACAGTACAAAAATCTGAACAAGGGGAAAGACAGCAAAGAGGACCACAAGATGTGCCCCAAAACTCTGATCCCCTAAAGCAGCTGTAGGTGTATACTACAGACCACGGGACCCGGGATGCCTTGAAATCCTGTCAAGGGTGTGCAAACATGATTTACAAAATAAACCCAAAAATTTCACATAGAAATCTGTAGTATTAAAAACATTCTGTCCTGTTGTGGTCTGAGTTGTCTGCAACAGAATTGTGCTATCTTTCTGTAGTAAAAAAAAAAAGAAAAGTAAAAGCCAGCATTTTTTTCAGGGTGCCTTGAGTCTAAAAATCTTGAGAATCACTGCTCTAAAGACTACAAGGTACAACTCTACATAACAAAACTAGCTGTCTGAAATCAACAGAATAGCCTTCAAGTGTGTAAGATTAGGCATAGAATCATAGAAGACTAGGGTTGGAAGGGACCTCAGGAGGTCATCTAGTCTAACCCGCTGCTCAAAGCAAGACCAACCCCAACTAGATCATCCCAGCCAAGGCTTTGTCTAGCCAGATCTTAAAAACCTCCAAGGTTGGAGATTGCACCACCTCTCTGGGTAACCTGTTCAAGTGTTTTACCACCCTCTGAGTGAGAAAATTCTTCCTAATATCTAACCTAAACTTCCTTGCTGCAACTTGAGACCATTGATCCTTGTTCTGTCATCTGCCACCACTGAGAACAGTTTGGCTTCATCCTCTTTCAAAACCACCTTCAGGTAGTTGAAGGTTGCAATTAAATTCCCTCTCAGTCTACTCTTCTCTAGACTAAATAAGCCCAGTTCCCTCAGCGTCTCCTCAGAAGCAATGCTCCCCAGCCTCTTCATCATTTGTTGCCCTCCTCTGGACTCCCTCCAATTTGTCCACATCTTTTCTGTAGGGAAGGGGTGGGAGCAAAAACTGAACACTACTCCAGATGTGGCCTCATTGGTGCTGAATAGAAGGGAATTATCACTTCCATTGACCTGCTGGCAACACTCCTACTGCTGCAGCCCAGTACACTGTTAGCCATCTTTGCAACAAAGGCGCACTGTCAGCTCACTGTCCACTGTAACCGGTACGTAATTTTTTCCTACATTTTTGGTCTCTGTAAGTTTTAGTGTTCCATAGTAGATTTTGTTCTGTTCTTGTGAACTGAGAAGTTGAATAAAATACAACCAGACTTTAAGAATAATTTTTTGTTTAATGAGAACAATCTATAGATACATTCATAGACTGTTGGGGGCTGGAAGGGACCTCATAAGATCATCAGGTCCAGCCCCCTTGCACTAGGCAAGAAAGACAACTGGGATCAGGTGACCCCAGCAAGGTGACTATCCAATCTCCTCTTGAAGATTTCCAGGGTAATCAATTGCACCACCTGCAGAAGGAGTTTATTCCATTCTGGACACCCTAAATGTGAAGAAGTTTTTCCTAGTGTTAAGCCTGAAACGGTCTTCCAGGAGTTTGTGGCCATTGCTCCTGGATTTCCCCAAAGGTGCCTGGTGAACAGCTGTTTCCCAAGCCCTTGATGTATTCCCCAGATATAATGGTAAACTGCTACCAAGTCCCCTCTCAGCCTTCTCTTTTTTTAGGTTGAAGAGGCCCAAGTCCCTCAGCCTTTCCTCATACGGCTTGCCTTGCAAGTCTCTGATCATATGGGTGGCTCTTCTATGGACTCTCTCAAGCTTTTCCACACCCTTATTGAAGTGCAGCACCCAGAACTGGATGCAATACACCAGCTGCAGTCTTACCAATTCTTTGGCTTTACTCAGCACCACTTCCTTGGTTTTGCTTGAGATGCATCGGTTCATGCATGCCAGAGTATTGTTTGCCCTGCTGGCTACACCACCACACTGACGGCTCGCATTCATACTACTGTCTGTAGGGCTGTGCGAACGGCTGTGTTTTGATTCGGTTTCAGATTTGGCCGTTTCGGAGGACAGTGATTCATTTCGGTGTTTTGGATCACTGTCCTGTTTTGTTTTGGCTGAATCCGTTTCAAATGGGCTGCAAGAGAAGCTTTGCACAGCCCTATCAAGCTGGGGAGGGCTTGGGGCTGGGTGCTGCAGGGCCCCAGTGGGGAGCAGGACAGAGCTGTGGGTGGCGTGTCTGGGGGAGTAGGAGGGCCGCTGCCCTCCATGCAGATGAGAAGACCCCCATGCGGATCTCTGATCCCTGTCACAATGGGTCGCGGGGAAGGGAAGCAGCACAGAGCGACAAGCAAGCCTGCTGGTCTCTGCCACATGACTCTCTGCTGGGGTCTCCTCACCACCCCTGCCCATCTCACACTACCCCAGTGACATGGGGCTGTGCAGGGCGGGCAGCGGAGGCAATGAGACCCCAGCTGCTCCCTAAGAAGCCAGGTCACGTAGCAGGGATTGCCAAGCCACTCAGCCCTTGGTTTGCTACCCCAGCTCTTTGATCATTCCCCCAGCTCTTCCCAGGAGGCACATGCCCCCAGATCTGTGCGTGGGGTTTCAGCAGGCTGCTGCTGCAGGCTGGGGCCAGCAGCAGCACTGCAGTCTTCCCAGCACTCCGCTTGGGCTGCACCAAGCAGCTGCTGCTGGCCCCAGCCTGCAGTGGCAGCCTGCTGAAACCCCGTGTGCAGATTGGGGGCCTGTGCCCCGCCCCGGAAGAACTGGGGAAAGTGATCAGAGAGCTGGGGAAAGTGATCAGAGAGCTGGGGAATTGAACAGGGAGCCTGATGTCAATATCAGAGCTGTCCTTCCCCAACCCTTTCACCTCCTTCTTAGTTTTTGTTTCCCTGCAAGCCCAGCTCTGAAACTCCCTGAAACATTTTGGAGCCTTGTTTTGAAGCCTTCGGATTCAGTGCTTTGGGCACTAAAACAGCCCAAAACACCTTTGAAATGAATCGGCTGCTGAAATTTCGCACAGCCGTAATGGTCTATTACTACCCGTAGGTCCCTTTCAGTCGTGATCTTAATCAGTTTGGTGCCACCAAGCCTGAAAGTATGTTGGGGATTGGTCATCCCCAGATGAAGCACTTTATATACTTCTCAATGCTGAACTTCATCGGGTTCTGCCTGTCTAGGTCCACCTGTATCTGCAGCCTATCTTCAAATGTGACTATGCTCCCCCATAACTTGGTGTCATCCACCAACTTGGCCAGTGAGCTCTTCACCCCCACATTCAAATCACCAATAAAGATGTTGAAAAGAGCTGGATCAAGCACAGACCTGTGAGGGACACCACTGGCCCCTTCACCAAAATGACACGGATCCATTTATTAGAACTCCGAGTCCTACCCTGTAGCCAGCTCCCTACCCACCTAACTGTCTAGCAGTTGAGCCCGCAATCCTCCAATTTTCCCCATGAGAACATCATGGGATACCAGATGAAAGGCCTTTTAGAAGTCTCGGTATACAATGTCACCCTCCTCTCTCTTATCCAGGTGGTGAGTTACCTTGTCATAGAAGGAGATGGGATTGGTAAGACAAGACCTACCCACAACAAAGCCATGCTGGCTGTCATTCAGAATCCCACCTCCTGCAAGCATATCACACAGACTCCTTGATGAATTTTTCCAGGATTTTCCCTGGGATAGAAGTTAGGCTAATTGGCCTATAGTTGCCCCAGTCCTCTCTCCTCCCCTTCTTGAAGATAGGCACAATATTGGCCCTTTTCCAGTCTTCAAGGACCTCCCCCAAGCACAAGTTTTGGAAGAGTTTTGCCAGAGGTCCCGTGATGACTCTTGCCAGCTCCTTCAGCATTCTTGGAAGAAGTTCACCCGGTTCTGCTGACTTATGTCTAACTTTCCTAACTGATCACGCATCAGCTCAACATCAACAGTAGGAAGGTGGTCATTCCCACCATGCCCATTCTGAACCTTATCTAGTAAGATTTTCCCCTTAGTCCAGTGAAATACTGAAGCAAAGTAGTCATTCAGGAATTCAGTTTTCTCCTGAGTGTTGGTAATCAGCTGTCCTAAGTTGTTAAGCAATGGTCCCACATTTCCATTTGTTTTCCTTCTGTTCCCTACATACTTAAAGAAGGACTTCTTATTGTCCTCGAATTCTGTTGCTAGTTTAAATTCAGTTGCCACCTTAGCCTTTCTAATCTGTTCCCTACAAGTGTGGGCTGTTGCTGTATAGTCCTCTTTGGGGACTGTCCCAAGCTTCCATTGTTTGTATGCCTCTTTCTTCTTTTTCAAGAGGACTATGATGTCCCTATTAAGCCAAGAGGGCTTATCAGCCCTTCTGCTACCTTTCCTCTGCACAGGACTGGACATCTTTTGTGCTTTGAGGATCATGTCTTTGAGGAACAAGCACTCTTCATGCACTCCTTTTACCTTCAGTCCCTGATCTCGCAGCTCTTCCCATACTATTGCCCTGAGCCTGCTGAAATTCACTTTTTTGAAGTCCAAAACTTCAATCCTGCTAGCTGATTTGCCTGCCTTGCAATGGACAGTGAATGTTATAGTTTCATGGTCACTGCCACCCAGGCTAACCTCTATATTCAAGCCGTTCACCAGATCGTCTCCTTTGGCCAAGACCAAGTCTAGGAGAGCGTTACCTCTGGTTGGCCCATTCACTTCCCGAGTCAGGTAGAGCTCTTTGATACTGGTTAGGAAGCAACATGACCAATCCGACTTGGCCGAGCGTTCCTCCCAAGAGATGTCCGGGTAACTGAAGTCACCCAAGATGACCATGTCCCATGTGCCCACAGCCTCTGCCAGTTTTCGAGAGAATTCCAGATCAAGCTCCTGCTCCTGGTTTGGCAGTCTGTAGTATACAACTACAGTTAGGTCTCTCTCACCACGCCCTCCCCTCCCCGCAGTAGTTTGACCCACAGGGTTTCAAGCCACTCTTCTTTGGAGCCGATGTTGGCCTCCAAGGAGGTATACTGCTCCCTCACAGAGAAGGACACCTCCACCTTTCTTCCCTATGTGGTCCCTTCTGTGCAGGGTACAACCCCCTACGACTACATTCCAATCATGTGGGGAGTCCCACCAGGTCTAGACTGTAATGCCCACTGGAGACTAGGAGGGCTAGCTCCTCCTGCTTGTTCCCCATGTTCCTGGCATTCATGTACAGGCAACCTGAGTCCTTCAATTGAGACCCTCGATTTCCTGTCACACAGACAGAACCATTCCCACAGCAGGTTTGTGCATTTCATAAAAAAATAATATTTATAAAACTTTATTTCAAGTGAGGTATAAATGAAAGAACATAAATGTATAATAATTTTAAGATACATACCTGTAACTAAGTTTCGGTTGACCTGACCTCCCAAAGAACCAAGAAGCTGTACCACTCTAGTTCTCACTGCCTCCAAAGAAAGATCTTCATTCTGGGTATTTCAGAATATCATAAAAAAATTATACAATATGGCACTCATGGACCTATGTAAGCTTTATGCATATAAGCAAATAAGTCTGGGACCTCAATTCACCTGTGTACGCAAAATGAAAAAATAACCTTCTTGACTCAGTAAGAGGAGAACTGGAAAAATATTTCAAAGATAAATGGTTTCATATGCAGTTTCTCTCCCTAATCAAATTTATTTTGAGACATCAAAATAATCACTTTATCTTTAAGATGCTTCCAATTTTCACAGGAAGGATGAAAGTATTCTGGAAAAATGTTCAACATTCTGTAGGGGGAATATATTACGCATTCATAGATGTAAAATGTCACAAAAACTGTTTTGAAGGCCAAGATTTTTTTTTCAAAAACGTAATTTTAACAGCAGGCATCTAAATCTGTATTTAGGTACCAAGCTGATTTCAAGAAGGCTGGTAGACAAGAACCTCTATTGACAGAGATTAAATTTACTTCCACATGTAAATTATCTGCCTTTGTTCACAAGACACTAGATTTAACAGAATGTCTATATGCACAAACAGGATAACCTAGTTTTTATATGCCTAAATATTTTCAACTGTGAAGGAAATCACTGGCTCATAACAAGTGATATGTCTGACTTAAATGACTTTGCATGAAGTTTTGGACAGAATAAAAAAAAACAGCCATCCCCACAAAATGCCATTCATGAACTATGCCATTAGATAGTCAAGATTCCAATTTTAAAGAAGTGTAGCATTTAGACTACCAGATAGTAAAGTCAGATATGCTTTATGAGGAAGACTTCATGTACTCCGAGGCAACCTTGATCTAAACTCAGAAACATTCTGTTAAAATTAGTTTTTTTACACTGAGGTCACTTTATCAAGACTTTCTTTGTAAACATTTGTGGAAGAAGCATATTCTAAGGAAAAATAAAAACTGAAACTCTACTGAATAATTCTGTCACAAAAGGTGAATTCCACAATTAAGATGCTCTACAAAACCTGAATATACATACAGAAATCAATTTTGTAACATGGCAATAAAACCCATCTAACCAATATTCTAGCAGGCTTTAAGCTACATAAGAACAAACCATACAAGGATGCGTTTACTAAGAAATATAAAAACCACTGACAACATAAAGCTCAAGTCAATAAATAATAACGCAGACTAGTATTAGAATATAATACAGTATATTTCACATTTATTTGCAAAAGGCATAATATTCTTTGGTTTGAAATTTAAGCAGAATAAGTCTTATAGTCTTAAGGGGAAAAAATAAAGAGGAGGCTTTACCAGTGAAAGGGTCTTTGCTTTTCTCAGACGTTGTATCACAACTTTGTTAAATCCTTTCTGGACTGCCCGAGAAAGCTTCTTCACTTCCCAATTATTCTGGAACTCATCTGATCAACAACAAACAGCCTATTAATATTCACTTCCTGTACCTGTCATTTACCTTCTTTCACAAGTATTTTACAAAACAACTTGTTTTTGCAACAGGAGAAATGAAGTTTTTAGGTTGAAAACAAAAAAAACCTCTAGTTTCAAGAAACATTTAAGACTGACTGATGACTCAAAGGAAGCATGTCAGAGACAACAGATTTTGGCCTCCAAGGAATGGGAGCTTGGATGAATGGAAGAGAAGATATATTTGAACGTGAAAGGTGGAGAGAAAGGAAAAAGCAATTCTCATCAACAGGGTCTTTGACCAAGCAACTGAGAGGGTAACACATCATTGGACACAAAGAAGTTCTATAGATTTTACAGAAACGCTTATTACTTGACAGCCAATTAAAGAGAAGTAACAAGAGGAATATTTTCAGCCTCCAATTTGTGCCTGTTACTTGAGCCAAGAGCACTGAAAACAGCTAATTATTTTAGATCAGAGCACAATAGACCCATGGGGATTTAAGCCCATCCACAGGTACAAAGAATTCTTGCTAGCAAGATACAGTAAAAGCTTTATTATCTGGCATCCTTGGGGTAAGGGGATTGCTGGTTAAGTAAAAATTCTGGTTATCTGAAATAACCCAGCAGGGGTTTTCAGATAACACAGAGCTGGTGGGGGGGCAGGGGGGTTGGGATAGAAAACCTAGTATTCCACATGCAAGAATTTCCACAATACATGGCAAGGCTTTCAAATTCATGCCCCCATGCACTACTTTTTAATTAAATACTTTAATTTACTACAGCTAGCAAATGCCCTCTCCATATTCCCACATTACCCATTTTATTTTTCCCTTCAATATACCTGGTGACGTAGCAGTCTTCAAATAGCCATCAAGAAGAGGTAAGACATCTTTGTAGTAAGGCTGCATTATGTTTTTGGGAATGTGAGAGGACCAGTCTTCTAGAGCATTCAGAGCCACATCAGCGATAGGGGTATAGCTGAGACCCAACTTAAACGCATTCTGTGTGTTAAACAAGGCCATTATATAGTATTCATTACAAAAGAGAGAGATTTAAATGGAAAAGAATAAGCAACCATACGATAAGGAAAAAAGATTCTTTATATTTTTAGATCCTGAACAGTTGGCATGACATTTTGATAAATTATTTGCTAACATCTGCAAATTTGTGAATACCTTAGGCCCTTGGCAAGCATTCAGTTAAAGGCATGATGGGATTTGATGCACAATACCAACAGTTGTGCCTCGCGCCATGCTACATGTGCATGGCAGAAGATATGATTATGGGATGCAAGATCAGATCCCAATCATGTCATATTGCCAGCATGGGGAGAGCCTCCAGTCATGATCCTGGACTCCCCGTGTACCTGCAAGTAGCAAGCCGGTCAGTTGACCCCTGCTCCCAGCCTCAGGAGTGCATCAGAGCCAAGGGCTCCAAATTAATCCCCGAGGCTGGGAGTGGTAGTCAGCTGCTTGGGGCTCCCAGCCCTGGGGATACATCAGAGCCCTTGACTCAATGTGCCCTTAAGGTTAGTAGCCCTGATTAGCCAATGCCTGGCCACACATTCAATTTAAAGCACAAAGGGAACCAGCCATGAAGTTGTTACACCTCTTCTGTAACAAATCTGTGGTTTATTGCTTGTTTTATGACACCATTAGTTGTACTACTACTTAAGATGTGATTAAGTGGTTAAGCACGTCTTCAGTGTAATGTCTGCCAGGGGCCTTAGAGCTTACTGCATGAGCAGGCCTTGAATTCAAGCTGCTAAACAGCTCTGCCCCTGAAAATCTGTCATGCAAATTTACCAGTTAACACACAAAAAAAAGTCAATAAATGTATCCTTTATCATGATGATGACATGAAAAAAAAATACAAAAATCTAAAGGCAGCTTGCTTGCCTGAGAAAATAAGATAGTAAGACCATATAAACAGAGTTTTACAAAACCAGCTTCAAAAATTTGTGTTAACAGACCCACCTGCAATGCAGGAATGTAAGCTTTGATATCCAGCATAATGATGTCATGAGGTAAGGAGAGCACAAATGTCAGACAAGATGCTAACAACTCATCTTTGTACTGTTTCATTCTTGCTGCCACCTAAAATTCAAAAACATAAGACACGAGTTACACACATCACTTGTTTAGGTGGCAAACAAAAATTTAAGATCTTGTTGCCCGTTTCGCTATATGAAGCATGTAATTCATAGAACTGTGGGATTTCATCACTGAAGTAGAAAATAAAGCACAGAATGACAAAAACACAAAGTTGCCTGGAAAATGTCTGAAGGATAGGGCTTGCACTTAATTTTTCTATCTGAAAATACAAATTTTAAGTCAAGAACATTTTGGTAATTCTTGGATTTCAGTAGACTTTTATTAAGCTTTATATTTTTTTGGGTTTATTTCAGTTCATTCAAACAAAATTTAAAATACACTTAAACTGAGTAGCAGTTCTTTTTAAATATGCCATAAGCATATCTATTACTAAAAAGAATTATATCAGTAGCTTGATTTTTATATCAATATTATAGCTGTCCAATTTCATCTCAATAATAATGTGCTCACTGGTCAAACTTACACAGCATGCAATCAACAGAAAACGTAATGATACTTTCAGCTAATACTGCAAAAGCCATCTTTCTGGACTAAAACTCTAAAGTCAAAAATAAAGGACTTTGCCAGAGTTGGGCATGTGGCATGTGTGAGACAACTAGCATGGGCAGCCTTTGTGTGTGGCACAGCAGATCAGAGAGGGAGGGGGATAGGTAGCAGACTGGGTAGGGAACGGAAAGCAGAGCAGTTGATTGGGCTAGGGAAGGGGACTAGAGTGGCATTCTTGGAGGACTCTATTTGTGGTACAAATTTGTGGTACACTTGCCAAAAAAGGTGGGCCCCCACTGGATTATAGAATTTGCTTCCTAACTTGTTCCACAACACCCAAAAATTTACTGCTTCTCAGAGTAACAGCTATCCTATTCACAGAGTTCTTTCTAACGTGGTGGCTCAGGTTATCATTTTATATTCCAGATAAAGCTTAATGTCAACTAGAAATCGTTTCATAATGTGCATTTCTGAACACCAATTGTTACAAGTTTTTTTACATAACTCAAAACTATAGATCAGAGTGCAGGATCTGGATGCTGTGCATTATTAAGAGCAATAACCAACCATCAGACTGCACACAACTGAACAGCAACGCTGTACACCAGAGATATCAAAGATATAATCTTTAAGACTATGGAGGAGCCCTATCATCCCACCTGTGGTGCTCCCTGCAGTTCTTGGAGTGGATCCAAATGCTACATACAGTGTGCACTGGATTGGTTCCATGTGCTGCATGTGGCATCCAGGACACATGCTGCATTCAGAGCTCAGGACTGCTCCAGCATGTGCACTGCAAGCGGTGCCTGTGCCAGACTGGCCCTGTGTGCTGGGTCCAGCACATGGGGCCAGCTGTGGTTGGATCTGACCCACAGACTGGCCCCATGTCATTCACGTGGCCCCTGGACCTGAATGAGTTCAACATCCCTGCTGTACACCGACCAAACAAGACAGTTCTATTGCAAGTCAGGAAATAATTTGCCACCCGTATTCCAAAACAACGAGAATTCTCCCCCTGAATTTGTTATTTGCGTTTCGCAGATACGTTTACTGTTTATTTTATAGTAAGCAGGATTTCTTTTCCTCCCTGGAGTTCAAGCCTAACACAAATGTTTGCTATTAGAGAAGATGGGAAGGGGGAGGGGGGAGGGGAGGAGGAGGAAATCATTAAAAGTGATTTTATTTCTTCAATGAACTTGACATTTCATAAGTGAAAAATGTAAATGAGTTACAGCAACACAAAACTAGAAGGAATCCTCATCAAGCATCTGTCTCTTGTTATCAAAAGCAACCACATCCTACAATCCCTTTCATAAACTTAAAGTTCCACCTTAAAAGTACTTTGGATTTTGCCCCCACTATTGCAACTGACAGATTGTTCTGAAACCTCACTCCTCCAATGTTTAGAAGCCTTCTGTCTTCCACTTTCTATTTATTCAAAATTCATTTTTATAACCAACAAACCAAATCATGGCTGATATATGACTGGCAGACAGCAGATGTGTCCATCTTAAAGAAAGGAGTAAAAAGGGCAAAAACAAACATATTAGTTAACAGAATACAAGGGTACAGAACACATTTGAAAGAAAGGATAAAATGAATGAGTGTAAATGAAAAAGGGGCAGAACACAAAATGAGTTTACCAAAGGATAGATAATGCTGGATTACACCACTAAATTTGATAAATTTAGTATAAGTCCTTATAATCAGATCTGCAATTTTACATGCCAGTTCTTACCAAACTCTGGGATACATCCAAATTTCACACCCAAAACACATACAAGCACATTAAGCTACTTGAACTGTACTTCAGCCTCAATTGTGATAACTTCCATTCCCATACTGTAATCTCCCTTAGCCAGCTTTTTCCATCTTGAGCAACACTGTTGTTGTTATTGAAAAACAGGGGCAAAAATATCCCTTTAGTTTTTAGGTCATACCTAAATAATCTTTAAATCTCACTGAATAGCATTGCTGGTCATTTATTACTTTGAGTTAGCCTGGAGCTTTTCCCTACACATTTTCTCCCTGTTTGGGATAGTTCCAGATAGCTTTTTACTCAAAAGAACACCAGGCCTCCTTCACACTGAAGTCCCTGATCTCTTAAACCCAGCTGATTTACACCATTTTCAGTTTTACACTGCTCTTCTGATAGAACTTTAGTTAATGTTATGTGATGGCAGTATTTTCTTTTAAACACCAGCAATAAACAGGTATGAATTCTACTGCAGACTTTTCAGTAGTCTTCTGGTGATACAGAGAGACAAAGCTGATTTGTTCACCAAAACATGAGTTGGTTGCTTACAGAGGTGATTCAGGAGTCTTTCCTGAAGAAAAGAGGTGAATTTAAAGTAAGCCTCCTATAATCCAAAATGGTGAAATACATACATGAGGAAAGTATACGATACGGTTGCTATCAACATGTGACTGTATTCAGACTGCAATTAAAAAAAAAAGTTTACCTCTTTTCCAAATTTTGCAAATAATGCAAAGCAAGAGCTCTTCTCAGGGTCTTCAGGATATTTTCTCTGAGTCCCAGGACTTAAATCCTGTATAACAAACTACAATCAATGATATGAACAAAGCCAATGGCAGACAGACAAGCAAACACCAGTACACACAGACAGTTCTGACATGTGGGACGACTTAATACACAAGTTAGGTTCAGAAAAAATTGCTGAGTGAGCAATCCATTTACCAAGGGATCTTCCACAGTGAAAGTTTAATGCACACGTTAATTCTCCCACCGTTAAACACAAACAAGGTGTGCTGATGGCCTGGGCCCCATTTCAGCTTCTGGACATATCATACATTAAATTCAACTGCCATTGTCCAATATGCACATGAATGGAGAGAAAAAGGCTGTTTTTCCTTTTCACCCCTATCCAAGAATAGGTTATGCCTGACGCTATGTAGGATTACAAAGATACACCCAGAAAAGTGGGGAGAGGAAAAAAAAGAGGGTGATGTGGAAAACAGCATCAATACACCACAGCAGCAGTCCCCTTGGGCTGGCCTAGATAAAATGCCTAAGCAATTTCCTCCAGAAGTCTATGGTGACCTAGCTGAAAAATTGATCCTTCCTGTCCATATTCTTTGAGATAGCTTCAGTATAACAGAACCCAATCAAGCACCCACTGCTAAATGCTCAACGGACTGCAATTTGAGGACCCCAAACAGGTGTCCTGCTTCAGGACAAATGCTCTAATCACTACACTGTCATATACAAGTTAATCAACTCTCCTTCCAGTAGCTGTTAGCTTCTTTAAGCTAGTTCTAGTGTCCATCTCTCAGTTCTCTCTGCAGTATAGGCAGACCTTGGATTTCTCTATAGATGTGGTTTCAAGATCCAGGAAAGAGCATCCTATAGATAGTCTCTTTAAAAAATGACTTTTCAGCCTAATACTGGTTTTCCCAGGGATTTTTGTGCAAAAGATGTACTTTACCCTAGATATCAGAAATAAGATATGAAATAATTGCTATTTAAACACTTTCAATTGTGCACATATATCTTGAAATACAGACCTTAATATCATATTAAACAATTCCTGTTGGTAAAAAAAAACTCACCTCAAAATATTTTGTTTTCTTGACAATTTTCATTACAACAGAGAGCAATTTGTAGAATCCACTAATAAGAGGTAGCCTTGTTGATTGTATAATAACCTCATAACCAAAGGAATACACCCATGGCTTAAAATAGTCAAGATGCTTCTTTGGCAGTATTTCTCTGCAGAATAGATGCAAAAGAAACATTCAACAAAAGCTGAATTGAAATGACTACAAACTTCCTTCCAGTTCGGAAGATATGAGCACTGACAAAAAAAAAAGTACAATAGGCCAACAATTAATCTCGCATAAGCCAATGAAGCAATACTTCAAAGAAGTGACAATCCTTTGACTGTAGTAATTAAATGACGTGCTAACAGGAGCAAAATAAATTTCTTCCCAACCCTAACTGATGATCATTTTTAAGAGTATATGCAATGTCACCGCCGTAATAATGATGCTCAGTCAGAAGGCTGGGCAGAGTGACATCGTGGAAACTAACTGGTTCAGAGAGGCATAGGCTATTGTAAGAAAGAACTTGCTGTTTTAGATGCCTATGAAAGCTCATGCCTCTCTGAACCAGCTAGCCTCTAAGATCTTATCCTGCTCTACCTTCTGCCAGACTTCAGAATAACCACCTCTCTGATAATCCTGAACACCTGAAGAGTTTTGGTCTATCACAGCAAAACATTGTAATAGTTTTTTTAATATGTTATGCTACAAATTGGGATGGAGGGCAACCTGTGGCACATCTGTCAGAAAAGGGTAGACCATGTAAACCATGAGAGGTCAGAAGTTCTCATAAATGTTTCTATATAATGTCTAGTACTCAGTATAACAACTTTATTTTTCAGGCATGCAGTATGTTTTATAAGTCAACAAGTCTCTGGTTGAAAACACATGTTGGATTTCTCCCAGGACAAAGCCTTTTATTCTGGAATCCTGAAGATATACAAGCTGATTGTCCAATCCTAAATACCTGTGACATGCCTACAAAAGTACTGAGGTAACACTTTCTTGGGACTATCAGGGCTAATTCAAGTTAACTCTGTTCAAACTGCCTGCATAAGTGACTGTTCCACTCTGTTCTGATGAGCCAAATCCTGAATCAGACATAGATAACACCTCCCCACCACCCACTGTTTTTAGCCTTTGAAAATAAAAATGAATGAAAATCAAATTCCTAAGTTAATGACCATATTTTTAAAGTACTTCACTGGTGACAAGAACACCCAAGAGGGAATTTTAAGTTTCTTTTCTGTCTGCCTCCTTTACGACCTCTTCTAGCATCGCATATTCTGAAGCCTGATGCAATTTTTTATGCCAGGGGTCAGAAACCCTTATGAACCGTGACTCAAATGACAAGGCTCTGGTCTGATATGGACTGGAGTCCTTTTTGGGCATTAGCAGCAAAGGGTTTTCCCTATAGTGAAGCCAGGACCAGGCAGGTGCACCTATGCTGCCATTGCTTCTCTCAGGCCTCCCTGTTTCCTGGCTGGGGCACAAACAGTTTCCAAATGGTGGGGACCCTGGGGCTGAGGAGCTAGAAGCTGTGGCCACCCTGCTACTGCTTCTCCCTGTATCCTTCTGTCCCTTGCCTCGTGGGTGCAGCTGAAGTCTCCACACCCCCAGCACAGCTCCACACCAGCTGGAACTGCACACATGCCACAACTTTTGTAAGTGATGGGGAGAAATGGTAGTGGCATGGGTGCAGCTGGAAGGTGTCTGCCCCCTACTTAGCCCCAGTGTGGGTACAGATGTGGGCATAGGCAAAAAGTCCTCTGGCTCTGTAGATCAGATCTGACTCACGGGTATATGTTGTCAATTGTCGTTCTATGAAGTTTCAGTTGCCCATTGTACTTAGATTTAACATTCTCCCCTATAACCTACACATTCAATACATTTTATTGTCTTCTGATTAGTTAGCATTCTTACCTTTGCAGATTTTAAAAGATATTTCAAACATGGGTACACGTCATGAAATAAGCATGCTTAAATTATACACAGAACCCAGATTTTATATATCTTGGTTGCTTGCCATCCAGGTACTTTGTAGCAGGTTGCCCAATTAAGGATAAACTACTCAGCTGCTCGTTGTGGCTTTTGTTTCAAAGGATGATATTTCTCCATTGAGCTGGGGCTCATTAACAAGCCCAGACAGCTGACAGAGTAGCAGTGCCCTTTTAAATAAAAGCCTGAAGCAAACAGTTGACACCTCAGAAGTCCCATGACTATATATATACACCCGTATTTAGTCTGGAAACCCTCATCTTTCCAGGGGGGAAAGAAACCTAATTCCTTCAGTTTTACATAGCCTCTACCATCCCTAAAACGTGCTTCCTAATTCTTAAATTAATCTAAAATATGCAGTACCTGCAGAATTCCACTAGATTAATGAATGCAATAAAATCTGTAGGCTTGGTTGGCTGAAGGTTTGAAGCTGGATCACAAGACGGTATGATCATAACACCACCAGACTCACTTTCACCCTGAAAATAAGAAGCAGAGGCACATGCTACTGAAACCTGTGGCACAACACAGACAGCATGACAGAATGACTCAACATTTTAGTACTATGAATTAGCAACAGTGGGAAAAATTAATTTGTCACAAATTAATCTGCCTTTTTGAAAAGTGAAAGACATAATTCTTTGGATTTGTAATAAGATGCTCACTCACAAGAGTAAAATAAGATGCCACAAAATACCATTAAAGATAGCTTATCTAATTTGAAGCAAACCACACTTTTTGAAAATGGAAATCATAAAATGTTGGTTTAGTAGACATCAGGAAATCATCTAGTCCATCTTCCTGCACTGAAGCAGAACAGTTTCTAGAAACAAATATTAATACATTCCGACAGCTTTCAATTTTATTTCAAGGAAAGATTTTAGAGGCTACGCCATAACAAAAAAACATAAGTGAAAGGCTAAGATCTCACCTGTTCACTAACAGTCAGTTTCTGAACTGTCAGGTCCAATTTTTCAATAATCTTCAATATAGATTTTATAAGTTCATCATACAATAAACGATTCAGAGACTGCAGGGGTGAATTTATTGTCAGAAAGTTTTCATCTGCAAAAACAGACTCCTTCATAGAAGAAGGAGAAATGTGTTTTAGAACACTGAAAAGCTAGATCTAAAAATCCAAAACGTAATAAATTTAAACAAAACAGTAACAGAATCCAACCCTCCCATCAGATCTCAGTATTAAGTGCGTTTTACCTTCATTGCATCACAGTTCAGAAGACTTCTAAAAAGATCCAGATAGTCCCTATATGTCGGTACTTTCCATTTTCCTGTTCTGACCTCTCCAACTGTTGGGGGCTCTTCTGATTTAGAAGCTCCTTTCCCATCAAATTCCTACAGGACAGTGGGGGGGGGAAAAA